GGATCCCGCTGCTCCGCTGCAGATGAGCTTCACCGCAAACGACGTGAAGTTCAACCTGGAGCTGGAGCGCGCTCGGTCGGTCTTCACCAGTGGGGCGAGGATCATTAACGGCAAGGGCGAGACGGTGCCTGGTCACCGCGTGACCAGCACGCCCATTTTCCGCAGCGAGAAGCACGGTGCCGTGCTCTCTCCCGTGAGCGGCCGGCTTCGAGGCCGAGGGATCCTTGCTGCGACTGGCAACCTGCCCTCTCCCTTCATGGAGAGCGGGGAAGGAAGGGGACGAGGACGATGAAGGAGGACGAAAGATGAGAGGAAGGAGGCGGACAGCTCACACGGCCTGGGGTCAGTTCCTGAGAGATTAAGTATGACTTCTTCTCGCGTGTGTATATATGTATGTATATGTTTATGTATATGTATATGTATATGTATATATATATATATATATATGTATGTATATATACATATATATATATATATGTACAGATCCTCCTCTTCCGATCTGTTTATAAGCCCGGGCGGGGGGAATCCCCCCCAAAAGCCAGACTCCAGGGATTTGAGGCTTTGGGACCCTCCGGACGGGCCTCGAAGCGGCCCCCTGGGCCTCGCAGGCCGTTTTACCAAGCCTTCTCAGCACACCTAGGGCGATCAGGGGGGTCATCGGAGACGTCCTAGAGACCCCAAAAACAGCACAAGAGCGCTCCAAGATTGACCGACGTGACCTCAAGATGGCCCAAGAGGCCTCCAGGACGGCCTCAGAGGCTTGACAACGCCTCCAAGAGCACTCCCAAGAAGGCCCCAAGAGGCAACAATCATTGATGTTCTGCGTTTTTTTGGGGAAAAAAGATATAAAATGAGAGGAAACATACCTAACAGCGCAGACTGATAGGTTTCTAGTGGTTCCAAAAGAGAGCATCATGACTCCCCAGGGGGGTCTGGCCAGGATCTGGGGAGAATCCGCGGAAGTCGTTTTAAGCAAACAATTAGTTACACACTTCGTGGTCCTCTAGGGCCCAGAACTCCATTCCCGGGCCGCATTCTGAATGCCCGGAGCCAACTGTAGGCCACTTCGTGCTCTTCGAGTTCCCAGAACTCCATTCCCGGGCCACATTTTGGATGCCCGGAGCCAACCGAAGGCCATTTCGTGCTCTTCGAGTTCCCAGAATTCCATTCGCGGCCCACATTTTGAATGCCCGGGGCCAACTCTAGGCCACTTCGTGGTCTTCGAGTTCACAGAACTTCATTCCTGGGCATGATTTTGAATGCCCGGAGCCAACTGTAGGCCAGTTCGTGTTCTTCGAGTTCCCAGAACTCCATTCCCGGGCCACATTTTGAATGCTGAGGCAGGCTGATGCTGAGGCTGAGGCAGGCTGAGGCTGAGGCAGGCTGAGGCTGAGGCCGAGGCTGAAGGCAGACTGAGGCTGAGGCTGAAGCAGGCTGAGGCTGAGGCTGAGGCTGAGGCTGAGGCTGAGGAGGCAGGCTGATGCTGAGGCAGGCTGAGGCTGAGGCTGAGGCTGATGCAGGCTGAGGCTGAGGCAGGCTGAGGCTGAGGCCGAGGCTGAAGGCAGACTGAGGCTGAGGCTGAAGCAGGCTGAGGCTGAGGCTGAGGCAGGCTGAGGCTGAGGCTGCAGGCTGAGGCTGAGGCAGGCTGCAGGCTGAGGCTGAGGCTGAGGCAGGCTGAGGCTGAGGCCGAGGCTGAAGGCAGACTGAGGCTGAGGCTGAAGCAGGCTGAGGCTGAGGCTGAGGCAGGCTGAGGCTGAGGCTGAGGCAGGCTGATGCTGAGGCAGGCTGAGGCTGAGGCTGAGCCTGATGCAGGCTGAGGCTGAGGCAGGCTGGGGCTGAGGCCGAGGTTGAAGGCAGATTGAGGCTGAGGCTGAAGCAGGCTGAGGCTGAGGTTGAGGCAGGCTGCGGCTGATGCTGAGGCAGGCTGAGGCTGAGGCTGAGGCTGATGCAGGCTGAGGGTGAGGAAGCCTGAGGCTGAGGCCGAGGCTGAAGGCAGACTGAGGCTGAGGCTGAAGCAGGCTGAGGCTGAGGCTGAGGCAGGCTGAGGCTGAGGCTGAGGCAGGCTGATGCTGAGGCAGGCTGAGGCTGAGGCTGAGGCTGATGCAGACTGAGGCTGAGGCAGGCTGAGGCTGAGGCCGAGGCCGACGGCAGACTGATGCTGAGGCTGAAGCAGGCTGAGGCTGAGGCTGAGGCAGGCTGAGGCTGAGGCTGAGGCAGGCTGATGCTGAGGTAGGCTGAGGCTGAGGCTGAGGCTGATGCAGGCTGAGGCTGAGCAGGCTGAGGCTGAGGCCGAGGCTGAAGGCAGACTGAGGCTGAGGCTGAAGCAGGATGAGGCTGAGGCTGAGGCAGGCTGAGGCTGAGGGTGAGGCAGGCTGATGCTGAGGCAGGCTGAGGCTGAGGCTGAGGCTGAGGCAGGCTGAGGCTGAGGCAGGCTGAGGCTGAGGCCGAGGCTGAAGGCAGACTGAGGCTGAGGCTGAAGCAGGCTGAGGCTGAGGCTGAGGCAGGCTGAGGCTGAGGCAGGCTGATGCTGAGGCAGGCTGAGGCTGAGGCTGAGGCTGATGCAGGCTGAGGCTGAGGCAGGCTGAGGCTGAGGCCGAGGCTGAAGGCAGACTGAGGCTGAGGTTGAAGCAGGCTGAGGCTGAGGCTGAGGCAGGCTGAGGCTGAGGATGAGGCAGGCTGATGCTGAGGCAGGCTGAGGCTGAGGCTGAGGCTGATGCAGGCTGAGGCTGAGGCAGGATGAGGCTGAGGCCGAGGCTGAAGGCAGACTGAGGCTGAGGCTGAAGCAGGCTGAGGCTGAGGCTGAGGCAGGCTGAGGCTGAGGCAGGCTGAGGCTGAGGCTGAGGCAGGCTGAGGCTGAGGCTGTGACTGCGACTGCCGTTGCCACTGCGACTGTCATCGCGAATGCGACTACGACTGCGAGAAGAGCAGAATTCTACAACTGGATTCTCATCTGAATCTTAAGGGGAATGCTTCCAGATATGCTCCTACACAGCGCTGTCAGGTTGCTTTGCCGGGATACTTGTGAATTTTAGGGTTATCCTCTTTTCGACTTCCCGACGCTCCAACACGGCAGTCTTCTGGGCGTCCGGAGCCGCTTGGGAGGCTCCAACATCGCCCCACAACCATCCGAAAGAGATTCCAGGCAGTCCAAGAGAGCCCCAAAACGGCACAGCAGGGGTCAAATATTGCCCTAAGAGAGCCCCATGGCGGCCAAAGACGGCCCCAAGACACCCTCCGACGCATTCCAAATCGTGACACGGTCGTTCAGGGAGACCGCGGTTGGAGACAGGGTGACCCGAGGAAGCCCCCAGAACCTCCAGAACACGCCCAGGACGCTTCCAGAAGGCCTTCAGAAAGCCTGCGAATCTTGTGAGGCCCCCAGAGGCTCTCCAAGGAGAAGCCTTCGCAAAAAGAGCTGAGGAGGATGGGGAACATGCGCAGGGTATGGCGGGAATGAGGAAAAAGAAACATGGAGGATAACGAGCAACATTATGTTAGCGGCGATGCTGGAAAAGGCAACAAGGAGTTATCGCTAAATTGTCGGCTCGACCTTCCTACTATTCCGCCTGCGTGCCACACTACAAGGACCAAAGTGCATGGCGCGAAGCGCTACTGCAGTCTTGTATGTATGTGTGTGTGTATATATATATATATATATCGGAGTAGGGCCCCGGGGCGGTGCCTGTCATCTCCATGGGGGGTGCAGGGCGCCCCCGGGAGCGTCCGAAGCGTCCCGGAGGGCCCCTGGGACCGCCAGGAACAGTTCGAGACCGCCCAAGACGGCCCGCGAGCGCTCCAAGACGCGCATACATAGCCTAAGGCATGGCCAGGAAGGCCCGAAGACGTTCCAAGAGAGCTCCATGAGGCCCCGAAGGCATCCCAAGAGGCCTCCCAAGAGAGCCGCGACAAGCCAAAATCCTTGATTTTTATTGTTTTTTTTTCCTCGGTTTTTGGCCTTCTCGTTTTTTCGCAGTTCCGACGCTCCAAGACCGTCCAAGAGTCTCCCAAAACCGCTCCAAGACGGCCGAAGAGGCCCCCAAGATCGCCTCAAGACGGCCCAAGAGACCCCCAAAATCGTCCCACGACGGCCAAGGAGAGCCCCAAGATGGCCCAGGAGCCGCCCAAGACGGTTCCAGGAGAGCCCCGACAGGGCTTCAAAACTGCCTAAGCGAGCCCAGCGGTCCCCAAGAGGGCCCCGCGAGGCCCCAAGAGGCCCCAAAGAGGCCCCCAAGAGCCTCCCCGGAGGCCCCCAGAGGTCCCCAAGATGCCCAAAAATGGCCCTGAGCGCGCCCCAAGACGCCTCCAGGAGAGCCCAACAGGCCTCCGAGAGGCCCCCAAGAGGCCCACTGGAGGCCCTCAGGAGGTCGTCCCCGTCATGTTCCCGGAAGGCGGTCCGGGAACATGATTTCGCGCCTTGGAGGAGTATTCTGCGCTTTCCGAGGCGCCTTCCGAGGCGCCCTGGACGACGTACGTATGTTTCTATAGCTTGTCCTTCTCCTGTGTACACAATCCTACATGTCTTACGTATGTATATATATATATATGTATATATGAATAGGTGTGTGTATGTACGTATGTATGTATGTATGTATGTATGTATGTATGCATGCATGCATGCATGTATGTATGTATGTATGTATGTATGTATGTATGTGTGTATGTCTATATATATATACACATACATACATATGTGTATATATATATATACACCCCTCCCCCAAGCCCTCCCGAGTCGTGCCACTTCCTTCCACGTATTTCAATTTCTTCCCTCTATATATATATATATACACATACATATATATATATATATATATATATATACACGCCCCAAGACGTTCCAGGAGAGCCCCACAGGCCTCCGAGAGGCCCCCACGAGGCCCACTGGAGGCCCTCAGGAGGTCGTCCCCATCATGTTCCCGGAAGGCGGTCCGGGAACATGATTCCGCGCCTTGGAGGAGTATTCTGCGCTTTCCGAGGCACCTTCCGAGGCGCCTTGGACGACGTACGTATGTTTCTATAGTTTGTCCTTCTCCTGTGTACACAATCCTACATGTCTTACGTATGTTTTGATGTGTATCTATGTATATTTTAAACATATATATATATATAAGAGGCCCACTGGAGGCCCTCAGGAGGTCGTCCCCATCATGTTCCCGGAAGGCGGTCCGGGAACATGATTCCGCGCCTTGGAGGAGTATTCTGCGCTTTCCGA